TTTCAAGTAAGAGGAAAAAGAAAGGGATAAAGCAGATAAGCAATTTTAAGTGATTACATCTGTCCCTTTCCTTGATTGTATTCAAGGGACTTGCCCACTGGAAGACCATGAAAAATATCACCCTACATTTTCCTCTAGTGTTTTTAGAGCTTAACAGTATATGTTTCCAGCTTTATTTTCAGGTTTTTGTTTACATAAGGCAGAAGATTATTATTTTTTTCATTTGGGTAATCAACCGCACCGATATCATTTGTTAATTCTTTTAATGACTAGAAATTCGATGACCAGAAATTTACCATGTACTAAATTCTCACAAGTGCACAAATTTATTTCTAGACTCTCTTTACTATTTGCTCAATTTCTCTGCTAGCGGCACACTGGTCTAATTACTAACACAGCATCCAACCTGATAGGTCAAGATAACTTTCTTTCTCAAAGTTTTTTTTTTCTACTCACATTTTACTGTTCTCAAATCAAGTTTACTTGTCTTTCCTTAAAAAGTCTGAGTATCTTTTTAATCAGAATCCCATGATAAAAGGAAAAAATAAAATTTTCACAACATTGATATTCCTGCCCAGTAATAAGCAGATATATAAAGCCACACACACACTCTCTCTCTCTAGTAATGTTTGACTACGACTGGTCCCCTGCTCCAAAGCAAGTGAAGTTCCTTATTTATTTATAAGGTGACATTTTCATTGTGAAAACACAAAATCTTAAGAGCTACAGGACATTACTGATCACTTATTTGTAACCCCAATTATGCTTTCCTCAAGCCTACTTAAAAGAATCCTTTCAAAATTAAGTAGAATTATTACACCTTTCATATGTCAAGTATTACCTGCACCATGTAAAAGGCAAATAAGTACACTACATTATTTGCAGACTGCTGTGAGTTTGGGAATCCCTTTAAAATGGGGTTCATACCTGTGCTCAAAAAATGAGAAAACACTGAGAACCCTGAGTGCCTACCCTTGAGACAGCACCGTAACTTTTACACACTCATGTTTCAAGGGAAAGTCATTCTGCTACAGTATTGTGCAGGGAACAAACTTCGCAGTACCAAATCTTTCCTTCCCCAGTTACCTCATCCTATTTATTAAGAGTACAAATCTGACATCTACCACTGAATGGAATAAGCCTGAGACCCCAATTTTAAGAGTCTGACTGCCCTGTGAAACTTCAGAAGCTGAGGCCCTTGGGTGCCACCCTGGGAACCTTCTCTTGCAGATCCAAAAGTGCCCAGGAATTTCTGTCTTTAAAAGCTGCTGACATTCTACTCTCAGCCATAATGTAAACTATTCCACATGAACAAAGACCCATCTCACACTAAATACCCTACATGTGGCTGTGAAGAAGGGCGAGAGTGATTTAAAGTTTCAAGCACCTTCAGCAGCCCATCTGCATGCACCGAGTATGTAGACCTGAGAGTCTATATTACACCAAAGTCTCTTCGCAGAAAAACTTGCTAAAACAAAGCTTTCCACTGTTCAGGTGACGGCGCTGTTAGAAAATGAGCAATGCCTTCTTTCTCCTCTCTTACAAGATGCCCTCTATCCCAGACCCTCTTCCAAAATAAAGCTAACGTCACTTTAAGGATGGCCAACACTATAAAGCACTTCATATATTTCTCTTCTATTCTGTACAGCAGCAGGCGGCATGCAAACACACATAAAAATAAATAAATTCTAAGGGAAAGTAATGATTTTGTCATTAGATTGCTGGCCGAAGAACTGTTGCTTCCTGACTGAAAGGAAGTGCCCGCACAATAAGCACCCTCCAAAGGAAAGGGCAGTACATTAAGAAAAACTTCCATCCACTCACACAAGACGCAAACTCAATCACACCATGCGTGGTGTCAAATCCTCCAAGAAAACGATCTCACTTTCTAATAACGACAGACTGCACTGAATGAAGTGTAACCTGGAGTGACTCATATTCCTGTTATGAGTGACTTACATGCCTGTTACCCCTGGGAAAAGTACCTCCAAAGTAGAGCACACAGAGCTACCCAGCAAGTAACATGTTAGGAATCAGTGCAGTAAAGCACACCTCAAGTAGGCCTTATGCACAGGTGAGAGCTCTGTTGCGAGAGCAGGTTTAATGGTACCAACCCACTGCACACCTATTTTTCCATGCTCCAATTTTGGCCCAGCTTTCTTACACTCCATAAATACAATTGTTTGGCAAAAGAGATGTCAAGTATTTGCCATCCCGAAAGGAAAAACAACACACATCTGAGTAACAAGGGAAAATAAACTTTCTTAACTAGCCATTGAGTTGTGTCCAAGCAGGACTCAAATAAGTTTACATTTTTTTAAAAACAGAAAAGAGAAAGCACGTGGAGACAGGTATTCATGATTTCATGGAGTCAGTTTTGTTCTGTTTCTTCTTTTTGAGACAGGGTCTCGCTATGAAGTTCAGGCTGGCCTTGAGCTCACTTTGCAGCCCAGGCTGGTCTCCAACTCACAACGATCCTCCTGCCTTAGCCTCCCCAGTGCTGGATTATAGGCATGCGCCACCACGCCCAGGATGGAGTCAGTTTTGATGATGTGTAACTTTACTGACACCTTTTCCTAGAATGTGGTTCAAATCAAAGGAGAGAATTCCTAGGCCTTAACCTTTACATCATGTGGCCACATGAAAATAGCAAAATTTAAGGAGCAAATATGATAAAGGAAACAAGTACAACCCCCAAAAAAACCTGCCATAAAAACTGAGGCATCGTGTTTATGCACGTTTACAAGCAACTGTTCGCCAAGAGATGAAAACAAAAATAAAACCCTTTCTGCAGAGCTCTTACATCTGAGTGATTTCAGAGCAAGCAACATGCCTAGCAGAAACGAAAGAGCAGACCTTGCTCCTGGAGCGCTTCAAGCAAAGCCAGCCTACTGGAAAAATTGAACAAAAAATAAAATCTCTCCTTGGCAAATACTGCCTTTGAAATACAGCTATGTTCAACAAAATGGCTTGGCTGAATTAGTATGTCTTTTAATAACTTTATGTTGAGATACATTCTAATCTTGAGAAAGAGACTTAAAAAGTTACATACACTAAAATCACAGGCATCTTCCTAAAATATATGTATCACTGTAGACCTTGAAAGTTAAATGAAGATGAAGAAAAAAATATGCTGCCCCGCTTAGCACAACTACGAGAGCTAAATTTATACTTAAAATGTACTTTTCAGTCTGTACCGAATGTGGACTTCTACTTTAATTAAGGTTCAGGGGCCGCTTAAGACTCAAACCAAATTCCAACTTCATTGTGTCCCAAAAGCTTACTACTACTAAATGTTATGGATTACGTTAGAAGTAATTCTGTCAGGAATCTGGAATTTTAACCTGACATCAACACTCTTGTGTAAGTCTTGGTGTACATGTAAGACTCAAAAGTGTGAAGACGAGGGAATGCATGACTTTGGCTCCTTCAGCAAAAGCCTAGTTATTAAAAATACATGCCATTAAATTCTATCAGTACTTCAAAGTCTCTGTCTTCCCTATAGTTTTGTCCCCTTTCTTCTTCACCCTTTGCATTTTATCAGCCTCCAAGAAACTGAAGAAAAGCTACCTCCAGAGCAAACTCACTGTCTTTGATCCATCGTGGTACTGAGTATTTGGTGATGGGCAGTTTGAGAATTTAGATTTCAAATTCAAAACATATTTCAAAATGTTATTTGACCTTAAGCGATGCTCCCAACACTAAAACCACTTTTTTCCTACCTTATTCCCTCCATTATTATAAACTTAGCAGCAGGAAACATTATCTGCAGGCAAATGCAGTTATAGAAATGGTTTCTCGTTCACCAGTAAACAACCAGGAAAATCAAGAATCACCCCCTTAATTCATCCTCTAGGACAAAGTTCCTGCGTTTGCCCTTAAGAATCGACTTAATTCAATCTCATGCTTTCTAAAATGATTTAAGATTCCGAACAGAGATCTGGACAAACCACCCAGAAGACAAGGAACTTTCCGGCAGCTAACCTGTGTAACCCTCCCATACCCTGAGATTCAAAGGCCTAAAATTTCCCATATGCGTAGGAGTCCAGGGCAGGCTAGGCCAGCTCCTCTCACAAGAGCAACGCACCCGAAGGGCTCTTTCCTGTGCAATTTGTCTCCGGTAATGTTTTTCTCTTGCAAATGCTCTCACCTACAACTCCCTGCTCATAGAATGTAGAATACAGCCAAACTGAGCTGGAGGTGCAGGCTAAGGTTTCAATGGGATCATTTTGCCTTGGTTCAGCCAGCCAGGCAGCCAGTGAAGGCTCCTGGAGAGAGGGCATCGCCAAGTGGTTTTGGAGGAGGTCACCTGGCACCCGGGAATTCACGGAAGAGGAAAGGGACGCAAAGCTAAGCTCGGGTCTGGTGTAAACAGCCTTCACTTACCCCCTGGCCTGGCTACCAAAAACAGAAGAGGGGGTCGGTGGTTATCTGACTTTCTAGAGGTGCCTGCTGCCGCCACCGACATCCAATTTTTACCTGTCACTAAGGAAAGGGCACGTCTAACCCAGCAGAGAGTCATTTTTCCTTCCAGGAGAGCAGCCGTTCTTTCGCAGGGAGGGGGAGGGGGCGTGGAACCGAGGGGTGCTATCGGGTGAAAGAGCGGGGACTTTTCCACTGGGGCGGGGACCCACGCCGGCCACTGCAGAGGAGAGCTGGGAGAGGGGAAACGTCGGGGGGCGGGGAGCACAACCGCGTGCAAACCATCTGGAGGGACCGAGGGGGGACCCCCAGGACAGGACTCGAGCTGGGGTGCAGACAGCGCCGGTGGCCGGTTGCCTTAGGATGGAGGGGGCAGGGACAATCGGGATACGGAGGTCTGCAGAGGCGGCAGGGAGGGAAGGCTGGGGCAGGGTCTCCGTCAAGTGCGACCCGGGGCTGAGCCCGGCACACGGCAGGACCCGGCCTCCCGGGCCAAAAGGCGTGGCCGGCCACCGGATCGCGCGGCCCCCTCCTCGCCGCCGGCCGGGCCCCCGCCCCCACGCCCGCAGCGCGCTTACCTCCACACCTGCCCCATCTGCAGCAGGTGGATGACCGTCTGCCAGATCCACACGGAGAGGCGGCACAGGCGCTGAGCCCCCGGCGTGGCCGAGACCCCCGCGCCAGGGCCGCCGCGGCCGTAGCCGGCCCCCATCATGGGGGGGCCCCGGCTGCTGAGCCCCTCCACGGCGCCCAGCCCGCCGCCCGTGTAGTCCTGCACGAACCAGCGGAAGCTCAGGCTCTGCACCAGCAGCGACGGCACCAGCACGAAGGAGAGGGTCAGCCCGAAGTAGCCGTAGTCCCCCTTGCGGTAGTAGTCGAGGGCCAGCCACAGGTCGGTGCCCACGTCCCCGAAGAAGACCAGCAGCGCCAGCACGATCCACAGGCAGTCGAGCCACGGCCGCTCCGGCTGCGGCGGCGAGGGCTGCGGCCGCGCGGCCGGGGGCGTCGGGGA